ATGGTGGCGCAGGCCTTTAATCCCAGCACTCGGGAGGCAGAGGCAGGCGGATCTCTGTGAGTTCGAGACCAGCCTGGTCTACAAGAGCTAGTTCCAGCCAGGCTCCAAAGCCACAGAGAAACCCTGTCTCGAAAAACCAAAAAAAAAAAAAAAAAAAAAAAAAAAAATGTTCCCACCAGGGAGGCATTTCTGAGTGAGTTCTGAGATGTGAGGAAATGGGTGTCTTATGGGTGCTGTTTATTTTTGTCGGGAGATTGCGCTGCTCTGGAGAGGCAGAACCCTCCTCTTGTCTCAGGCTGCCCTTAATCCTGCTGGATAAATGCATCACAGGATGGGGCATGGGTGCCTGGGGGGCAGAAGGGGAAGCCACTGAAACCTAGCAGCAGGGGGCATTTGATCATGCTCAGAGGGGTGTTGCCTCTGGCCCAAGAGTAAATTTGACTCTCCTGTATATATTCCCCTTCCCCCAAAAGGTGGAGGGCACACCTTCCAGGCTGGATGTGGACAAGCCTGTCACCTTGTCCTAACGGCCTGGACTTGGGGACATTATGTTCCCCTCTCTGTTCATGGGACTTAGGAAAGGGTGTTAACTTGCAAGTGGGGAAGCTGGTATCCTCAGTGGCTGACGTAAAGCGTTGGCAGCTAGGACTGTTTTTGTGTGCTGCAAGTTCACTTACATGCAGCAGGTGCCAAATAAAGGCAGCATGGTAGAATAGTCAGAGGGGACCCCATAGAGCCCCCACCCCCCACCCCCCCGCCCGCCGCTCTGAGCGCTGGCGTCCCATCTCTTGTCCTGGACACTAATCTCCTTAGTGCTGATAATGTAGCTGATGTTTGCTGTGGGTTTTTTTTTTTTCTTTTTTAGCAGGTGGCTTTCCATGCTGGGCTTGGAATTAGTGTCTAAAGACGCATTTGGGGAACACTAAATAGTGAACGCTCTGCCGTTTACTCAAGGTGGGATCTGGTCTAGATGCAGAGATGCCTGTCTGCAGGGTGGGTCCTGGGGGCAGACTTTTCTGGAGGTCAGGGAAGAGTAGTGGGAAGGAGCTGGCCTCTGACAGACGACAGACTGGAGACACAGCCCCGTTGGCGGAGGCTTTGCCAACACTGCACACATCCCAAATGGTTGGTCTGCTAGCACTCTCAGATAGAGATAGGAAGATCAGAAGTTCAAGGACATCCCTGTCCACGTAGTGTGTTTGAGGCCAGCCTGGACTGTATAAGATCCTGTCTCAAAAGAAAAATAAAAAATTAAAAACTGAAAATCAGGCACATATGTGGGTAGGCACACTATCAAGATGGCTCAGGGGTTAAGAGCTCTGATGTTTTACTTTATTTATTTATTTATTTAGAAATACGGTTTCTCTGTGACCCTGGTTGTACTGGAACTCACTTGCAGACCACGTTGGCCTCCTGAGTGCTGGGAATAAGGATGTGTTTTAACACTGGACCTGAGTTTGGTTCCCACCTCCCACTTTGGGTAGTTCACAGTCACCTGTAAGTCTAGCTCCAAGAGATCGGGTGTCTTCTGGTCTCTGCAGGCACCTCAGCACATGCGGCACATAGGTCACACACACGTATTCACACACACAGGTACACACAAATATAAAATGAAATTCTAAAAATCGGTCAGAGTGTGGGTTTTAGCGACCTTGGATCCTTCAGATGGGCCTGGTCCCTCTGTTCCCGCCTGTTGGGGAGAGACAGCTCTGTCTACAGGTGGCTCTTTTTGTTTGCTTTATTTTGTTCATTTCTTAAATCTTTTATTTTATATGTATAAATGTTTTGTCTGCATGTGTGTGTGCACTATGTGCGTTAGATCCCCCCAGAACTGGAGTTATGGACAATTGTGAGCCACCATGTGGGTGTTGGGAATTGAACCTGGGTCCCCTGCAAGAGCAGCAAAGTGCTCTTAAACAAGGAGCCATCTCTCCATATCCCTGTGTTTGTGTTTTCACAGATAGTTCTTAGCCCAGGCAGAGATGGGGAATGTTCTGGGCTCTCCACTGAGATGCTCTGCAGGTCTGCTGGGCTGCGTTACCTTCCAGCCCAGGGCTGAATGCTGCTGACTTTTCTTAGGAAGGGTCAGGCCCATCTGGCCTGAGGTGTGTGTGCCATTTTCCAAGGCCTGGGTGTGAAGTCTGCTGCCTGCCACTGGGGTGTGTGTGCCTGCTGGAAGGGGCTGGTGGGAAGAGGAGAGTCCCCAGTTCTAGAAGAGCTGAAAGCAAGGCAGGATGAGCAGAGCCTCTGAACATGTGAAATCCAGCCCGGACTGCAGACAGCATTGGAGCCCATGGTTGGGTCTACTATAGTATGCACTGCATACTATATGGTTGTGGGCTGTCTTTTAATTTTTTTAATGACAATTATTTGTTTATTGATAGGTTGATTTATTATGTGGAGGTCACAAGGTAACTTTTGGGAGTTAGTTCTACCTTCCACCCTGCTTGTTTCAAGGAGCCCACTGAAATTGTCGGGTGTGGCAGCAGGTGCCTTTTCCTGCTGGGTTATCTTGCTGGCCCTGCTTTGGGCTCTCTGTGGTCTCTGAAGGGAAGACTTTGGTCAGTTGATTCATTGTTTCCTGGGATAACCTGAAGTCTTTCCCAGGGGATTCCCAGTTGCTGAGAACATACAAGAATATTCCTGTTTGCCGGGCGGTGGTGGCGCACGCCTTTAATCCCAGCACTCGGGAGGCAGAGGCAGGCGGATCTCTGTGAGTTCGAGACCAGCCTGGTCTACAGAGCTAGTTCCAGGACAGGCTCCAAAACCACAGAGAAACCCTGTCTCGAAAAACCAAAAAAAAAAAAAAAAAAAGAATATTCCTGTTTGTGTGTGTATACATGTGTCTCACCAGGTGTACATGTGTCTCACCAGGTGTGCATGTGTCTCACCAGGTGTACATGTGTCTCACCAGGTGTACATGTGTCTCACCAGGTGTGCATGTGTCTCACCAGGTGTACATGTGTCTCACCAGGTGTGCATGTGTCTCACCAGGTGTACATGTGTCTCACCAGGTGTGCATGTGTCACACCAGGTGTACATGTGTCTCACCAGGTGTGCATGTGTCTCACCAGGTGTGCATGTGTCTCACCAGGTGTGCATGTGTCTCACCAGGTGTACATGTGTCTCACCAGGTGTGCATGTGTCTCACCAGGTGTGCATGTGTCACACCAGGTGTGCATGTGTCTCACCAAGCCTACGTGTGTCACACCAGGCGTGCGTGTGTCGCACCAGGCATACGTGTGTCGCGGCATATATGCAGATTCAGTTTGATAATTTAGGTGTACGATATCTTAGAAGTGAAAGGAACCAGGCTGGGAATTTAGCTCAATCGGCAAAGTGCCTGCCAGTGTACACAAAACCCTAAGTTTAACCCCAGCAAAGTACAAAGGAGGCGTGGTGATGTGTGCCTGTAATCTCAGCAATTCAGGGGTAGAGGAATAGAAATGCAAGCTTATCCTTTGCTACAATAGAAAGTTCCAGGTGGACCTGAACTACATGAGACCCTGCCTCAGGAAGAGGGAAAAAAGTGGAACCACTCTTTAGGTTAGTGAAGTTAATGATGCTGAGATGGAACTTTCATTCATGGCGCCTTCTCTTCTAGGACAGCTGTCACAGTGTGCGCTGTCCCAGAGTAGGATTTAAATTTTTTCTATACAGCTTGTCAATATAAAACCTTCCAGGAATATAATGTCATCCTTACAGCAGAGACCATCACAGTTACTCTTTCCCTGACCACTGAGATATGCTGAATAAATATTTGACTCAGTCATGTGTAACAATCAGCGCCCTCTTCTGGCTTCCTAGGGTACCCACACCCATGTGTGCGTACTCACCCACAGACACATTAACAAAAAGAAAAGCTAAAAGGAAGAGTTTTTAATTTGGTGATACTATTGATGGAACCCAGGGCCTTAGTGGGTATGCTTAGTGGGTGTGCTACCCCTGGGCTCTAGGCTCAGCTCCCCAGATAATGATAGTGGCTTTTGTTTTGTTTTTGTTTTCAAGACAGGGTTTCTCAGTGTGTAGCCCTTGCTGTTCTAGAACTCCCTCTGTAAGCCAGGCTGGCCTCAAACTCAGAGACCCTCCTGCCTCTGCCTCCCAAATGCTGGATTAAAGGTGTGCAGTACCACTGCCTGGCTGATAGTTGCTTTTAAAAATAAAGGCCCACAGCCTGGTCTACAGAGCTAGTTCCAGGACGAGCTCCAAAGCCACAGAGAAACCCTGTCTCGAAAAACCAAAAAAAAAAAAAAAATAAAGGCCCAGTGGGACTAGAAGTGGCTCAGCAAGTACTTGCTGCTCTTACAGAAGTCCCATCTTCCACGGAGACGCAACTATCTGTAGCTCCACTTCTAAGGAGTTCCAGATGGTTACCGACTTTCCCCCTTTTGGCCTCCTCAGGCACCAGGCATGAGTGTTGTGCATTTACATACATGCAGGTAAACGCATAAAATAAAAATGAATAAACTTTTAAAAGCCACACTGGAGTACAATAAATGCTTAAAGCCTTGCTTGGTGTAACAGCACATTCCTGTAATCCCAGAGGCTGGAGGGTTGGGAGTTCAAGGTCATCATGGGCTACTTAGTTTCCTGAGGCCGTGAGAAAATACTCTGACCAAAGCTACTTGAGGCAGTTTGTCCTGGCTCAGTGTTCAAGGGTGCTGTACAAGGGGCAGGAGATGCCATATGCAGGTGTGTGTGTGTGTGTGTGTGTGTGTGTGTGTGCGCGCGCGCCATGCGCGGGGCGGGAGGTCAAGGCAGCAGGGTCTTGGCAGCGGGTCACAGCCAGGAAGCAAGCAGGGAGCTGCTGAGTGCTGTTCTCTGCTCCATTCCTCGATTTAGACAGCCTGGGAGCTAGTCTAGGGAATGGTGCAGTGAGGTCCGTTTCCAAGGTAATGCTAGATTCTGGCAAGCCTGACAATATCAACCATCACAGTGAGACAGTGAGTTCCGGGGTAACCTATGCTATATGAGATTTTTGCCAAAAAAAAAAAAAAATGCTTCCCGTTTACTTGCTGCTCTAGTCTCTCAGTAGCAGGAGCAGTTATTCGCATGGGATAAAATAATATCGGGCAATTGTAAATTGAGATTTTCTCTCTTCTGCATGGTCTAGACATTGTTCTTGGTGCCTTACATTTAAATGTGAGCAGGATTTAGTCAAGAGTGTTTGCAGTTAATACTGTTTTCATTAATTAAAAAAATACTAATGAAAATAATTGCCGGGTGTTGTTGGTGCCCATCTTCAATCCCAGTATTCCAGGAGACAGAGGCGGGTGTCTGGGTTTAAGGTCAGCCTGGTCTACAGAGTGAGTTCCAAGAAAGATAGGACCTCAAAAAACAAACAAAAAAATCTTTTTTTTTTTACAATTTTTAAAAATTATATTTAGTTGTTTTGTGTGTGTGTGTGTGTGTGTGTGTGTGTAGTGGGTGCAGAGGTCAAAAGACAACTTCCTGGGGGAGCTCTGCCCTGTGAGTCCCAAGGACTGAACTCAGGTAGCCAGGCTTGGTAGGGAAAGGCTAAAGAGCCACTGAGCCATCCCGTGGGCCCTGGATTCCCTTTTGTAGCATGTGATTGGGTTTCTTTTCATGTGAGGAGTTACCTAGCTTGTCATACTGTAAAAGTGGTCCCCGAATGTGAAGATGATGTGAAAAGCTGGCCTGGAGGAGGCACGTGAACGTACTAATTGATACCAGTCGAGAGAATGAAATCAGAGCCGTGTGTGTGGAATACATTGATCGCTCTGGGGAACTCTGGTTCCCCTCTGCGCAGTCACCGGCTGAAACAGCCGGCGTTTGTAAGAAGATATGCCGTATTGGCGAGAGTTCTGCGGTTCAGCAATGTCGCTGGCTCCTGGGAACGTGTCTTTCAAAGTTCATTCATCGTCAAATATTGACTGACGCTCCCTGTGCTCTGGTCTGTGCTTAGGCCTGGGGCTGCTAAAGTCAGGTCGATCACTAAAGTTCCTGCACGTCTGGCCTCAGAGGAAGGGCGAGACGGCTCACGTCACACCCACACCCGGCAGGGAGATGCCTGGGACTTTTAGAGCTGGGTGGTTTTTATTGGTTGTTTAATTATATCAAATAACTTTTACTGGTGGTAAACTAATTTCCATAATTACCGATGCATTCATTCATATGGTGCTTCTTTTATTGTGGCAGAAGATGGCTGTGCCTCCCACATATGCTGATCTTGGCAAGTCTGCCAGGGATGTCTTCACCAAGGGCTATGGTGAGTGTTGGAGGGAGGGAGTCGGGAGGGATGAAGGAGGGCCTTTTACCTACAAACGGTGTTTGAGACACTTGGTGGTCTGTTCCCAGCTGTGCAGTCAAAAAGTTGAGCTTCCTGCGGCTGTGCGCCACCCAGTGGCGAGGCTCAGGCATTGCAGGACAAGTAGCTGACGCTGCGTCTGCCCCAGTAGAAGAATGACATTCTAAATTTAGCCTGCCCGGCCTACCAGCCCTGATGACTGTGTCTCTGCCAGCTGCTGGGAATCTCCCCCACTCCCTTCTCCCCGGCCCTGCATGGGCACAGGTGGGGCCTGCGTTCTCAGTGTGCCCCTGTTGCATCGGCTTCTCATAAGCAGTAGCAGGCGTCAGGTGCCCCCAGCGCTTAGGGCTGTAGTGAGTTTCTGTAAGCACCTCCAGTTGGCCAGGAGGAAGGCAGAGGTGTCCTAGCTTCAAGTTTTTATTTTTCTAGTGCTGGGGATCCAACCTAGGGCCTTGAGCTTGCTAGCAATCGTTCTACCACTGAGCTGCAGCTCCAACCCCTCTGGCTTGGTTAGTTAACCTGTTTATGGTTGTTTTTCTTTTTCCTTTTTTAGGCTTTGGCTTAATAAAACTTGATTTGAAAACGAAGTCGGAGAATGGATTGGTAAGTTGTTCCGCTTGCACGGGACAGTATATTTGTTTCTGGCCAGTAGGGGGTGCTGTGTCCAGACTGGCTGAGCCGGAAGCAGTTGCCTATTTGGATTGTGCTTGTCCGGCATCTTATCTGTGTGATAGGTGGTCTGGGACTGTAGTAGCTGCTGATATTCATAGGAAAATGAGAGTGGCCTCTGGTAAAGTGCCCTTATGTTTGTTGTTTTTTTGCAAGTTATTTTGTGGTGTTGGAAGGAAATCAAACTCTGACCCTAACACACTGTACACATATGCTCTACCATTGACCTAAACCTCTAGCCTGGTTACTCCTTGATGTTTCTTACTTTAAAATTGGCCTTTCTTTTTCTCTTCTCTTTTTTTTTTTAAAATAATTTATTTAACTTTATTTTATGTGCATTGGTATGAAGGTTTTGGATCCCCTAGAACTGGAGTTACAGTTGTGAGCTGCCATGTGGGTGCTGGGAACTGAAGCTGGGTCCTCTGGAAGAGCAGCCAGTGCTCTTAACCACTGAGCCATCTCTCCAGCTTCCTTCCTTCCTTCCTTCCTTCCTCTCTCTTTTTTCTCTCTCCCTCCCCTCCTGCCTTCTTCTTCTTTTTTTTTAGTTTTTTGAGACAGAGTTTCTCTGTAGTTCTGGATGTCCTGGAACTCATTCTGTGGACCAGGCTGTCCTGGGACTAAAGGCGTGTGCCACCACTGCTCAGCTGCTTTTTTCTTTTTAAGGAGTTATTTTTGTGTGTGTGTGTGTGTGTGTGCATATGTGTGCGTGTGTTTGTGCCTGCATGAGTTTGTATGTACCATATGTATGAAGGAACCTGGGGAGGCCAAAAGAGGGTATTGCATCCCCTGGAACTGGGGTTACTTTTACAGGTCACTGTGAACTGCATTGTGGGTGCTGGGATTAAAACCCATATCTTCTACAAGAGCAGTTAAGTGCTCTTTACTGCTGAGCTGTCTTCAGCTCTGTTGACATGTGTTTTTATTTATTTATTTTATTTTGGTTTAGGTTTTTCTTTTTTTTTCTTTTTTTTTTTTTTTTCGAGACAGGGTTTCTCCATAGCTTTTTGGTTCCTGTCCTGGAACTAGCTCTTGTAGACCATGCTGGCCTCTAACTCACAGAGATCCACCTCCCTCTGCCTCCCGAGTACTGGGATTAAAGGTGTGCGCCACCACCGCCCGGCTAGTTTTGTTTTTTGAGACATGACCCTGGATGACCTAGAACTCACTGTGTAGACCGGATTAAAGGCATGTTCTACCTATATTTTTGTGTGTGGGGGCGTTTGAGACAGGGTTTCTTTGTGTAACAGTCCTGGCTGTTCTGAAACTCGATTTGTAGACCAGGCTGGCCTCGAACTCACCGAGATCCGCCTGTCTCTGCCTCCCATGTGCTGGGATTAAAGATGTGTGCCACCTATGGTTTTAATGTTTCATTATTATTTTGAGAACATTCTTGTTTTTAGATTGTTGGAAGGAAGAGTGTGGATTTAGAATTCTGCTGTGTCAGCTTTCGCTCAATGACTCTCTCTCTGTCTGAGGCTGGAGGCAGCTGGAGGTTGGGTGGCTTCTTATGAAGACTTTAAGGGCCGTAGGGGAAGAAGGAAGCTGTCTTCCAAAGAACTCCCCAGAAGCTTCCTTTTGGTAGCAGGATCTTTCAGTCCTTTGTATTTTCAGTATCTAACTGAACTGTAGAAATAATTCTAGTTGGATATGCTGGGGACTCTGTTGCATAAGGTTCTGGGAGGCACTGAGGGCAGGCTGGACTGTGGGCTGAGACTCTCTTTCCTTTAAGGAATTTACCAGCTCAGGCTCCGCCAACACAGAGACCACCAAAGTGAACGGCAGTCTGGAAACCAAGTATCGATGGACTGAGTACGGCCTGACGTTTACAGAAAAGTGGAACACAGACAACACCCTGGGTACCGAGATCACCGTGGAAGACCAGGTAAGGCCTCCCCGCCAGAAGTGCTGGCTCCACCCATTCCTATCCTGGCTCCACCCATTCTCATCACAGCGTCCACAGCCCAGCCCTCAGCTAACCTGTACCACCTCTCTCTTCTGTGCAGCTCACGCGTGGGCTGAAGCTGACCTTCGACTCATCCTTCTCACCTAACACTGGGTAAGGGTCTCGCCTTTGTCCCACGAGGACATTTTAGGATGTTGCGGGCCTTGGAAAAGTCCTTCATGACAAAGGATTTTGGTGTTAAGGGTGACATCATATTAAAGGTAGCCTCCAAACCGAGAGACTGGGGGGTGGGGAGGGGTCAGGGCCAGCCAGGGCTATAGTGAGATACTGCATCAAAGAACAGAAACTAATGAGACAACAGTAGGGTCCGAGCTCTGTATATTCTGTGAGTTCTGTGGTGGTGTTTGGGCCAGGACACAGATACCCATCTGTTAATGGGCTGTGCTGTAGCAAGCATTAGAAAATACATTTATCAGCCGGGCGGCGGTGGCACACGCCTTTAATCCCAGCACTCAGGAGGCAGAGGCAGGCGGATCTCTGTGAGTTCGAGGCCAGCCTGGTCTACAGTTCCAGGACAGGCTCCAAAGCTACAGAGAAACCCTGTCTCAAAAAACAAAAAAACAAAAAAAAAAAAAGAAAAGAAAAAGAAAATACATTTATCTAACGCGTGTGTTGGACTCTAGCGTCCAAACACTGAGGAGGAGTCGCCTCCAGAGACCATCTCACACACCATAGCCGATGCAAAAGCATGAGGATTTTATTAATTCTGTCTTGACAGGGTCCCCCAGCATTCGGGAAGCCGAGGGACCCCAACTTTTATTTTATTTTATTTTTTTTTCTCGAGACCTATGGGGAGGACCCCAACTTTTAAAGGGGCCACAGACAGTCAACTTTTAAAGGGGCCACAGAAGCAAGGGAGGTTGTTCTTTGACTATTCTGATTGGCTTATTTGAAAGGGCTATTACCAATAATTGACTGGAGAGCTGTTGCCAGATCAGATGAGGTAAGAGGTCATTTTGACCCCGTTTCCCAGGGGACCGAACCTAAGCATACGTATATGGGTAATTGTTCAGGAACTGAGTACGTGTGAGTGTAGCTGTTAGGTCCTTGGTTCCCAGGGGAGGGGGGGAAGCACTATGGCACAGAGGCTGAGAGGATTCAGAATTGTCAAAAATGGCTTCAGGATTGTCTTAAAGTCTTACACATGGTTTTGTGTGTTCCTCTGCACATTTGGGGACCGAGGTTGCCAGGGTCAGGATGCTGTTTGCCCCAAGGAGCT